AGATATTATGAAGGTGAAATGGGCAAGTGATGCTGCAGAGGTGAAATCAACAGGCCTTGGCCTCGGTTTGGTGAGGGTTGAGAGTGAGGAGTTCAGGACGACTCCTAAGTTGTGAGCCTGGGGGACAGAGAGGGTGGCAGAGCCCTTGACAGTCTTGACAGTAATAGGGAAGTAGGAAGAGGAGAGGATTTGAGGGGAAAGATAACGAGTTCAGTTTTGCACATGTTGAGTTTTCCATGCTTATTGGAATAACCACTTCAAAATGTCCAATAACCGGAACTGAGAGTAGCAGGAAGCAGTGAGATCACCACCAAATCTCCTCTAAAAAGATCTAGGGAATGCACTGGGCCAAAACTTTTGGGGAAATCTAAGGGAAAAAAGTCATGGTGACTCATATTTCTAGCCCAGGTTGACATAAAGATAGAGAGACAATGAGAATGCAGTCTGGCCAGGACTCCCTGAGACAACAAGAAATATTAAAACAAAGTCAAAGTTTCATGATGGGTATGATGGATATAATATTTCTTGCCTTCTCAATGGATGAGGGAGGGGTATAAAGAGAGAGAGAATTTGGAATCAATATTAAACATAACATTTTAGGAGAAAAAAGTCAAAAGACTGGAAAAAGTAGAAGAATATGTAAGGTATTTCATAGCAAAAACAACTGACCTGGAAAACAAAATGAAGAGAAATAATTTAAGAATCACTGGACTACCTGAAAGTCATGACCAAAAAATGAACTTAGACATTATATTTTAAGAAATCTTTTAAAAATTACCCATATCTCTTAGAATCAGAGGGCAAAGTAAAAATTGAAAGAATTCAGTGGTCACCTCCTGAAACTCCCATCTCCTGAAACTCCAAAATAAAAACTCTCAGGAATATTATAGCCAAACTATGGCCAAAGAAAAAAATACTACAACCAGCCAGAAAGAAGGAATTCAAATACTGAGGATCCACAGTCAGGATTGCACAAGATTTAGCAATGATCACTATAAAGGAACAGAGAGCTTGGGATATAATATTCTAGAAGACAAAGGATATCAGCTTACAGCCAAGTTTTGCTAATTTACTCAGCAAAACTGAATATAATTCTACTGGGAGGAAAGATGGACCTTTGAGGAAATAAGAGGACTTACAGGCCTTCCTGATGAAAAGACCAGAGCTGCCCGGAAATTTTAAAGTTCAAACACAGGAGTTAAGAGAGACTTTAAAAAGTAAAAATGAATGAACAATGATAAATGACTAAAGAAATATAAACTAATTATGATGGGGAGGTGATAATTGTATCCCTCAGAACCCTAATATCCTCAAGGATCATAGAGGGAGTCTGATTAGACAAGGCCTGGGAATGGTTCTGTTATGTTTTGATGATTTTAAGAAAGAATGGAAATGGAGGGGAAGAGGATTATACTGAAGTGGGGGGAGGAAAAAGAAGTTTAGGGAACATTATCTCACTTAACTGAGGCGCAAACAAAGAAGAAGGTTGCAGATGGCTGACACTTCAACCCCCTCTCATCTGAACAGCTCAAAGGAGGGAAGAATCCACACATACGTACATACAGTTGGGTTCAGAAATACATTTCCCTTAAGAGGGAAATGGGCAGCTAGGTGGTGCAGTGGATAGAGAGCTGGCTCTGGAGTCAGGAGGACCCAAGTTCAAATCCAGCCTCAGACATTTACTAGCAGTGTGACCCTGGGCAAGTCACTTGATCCCATTTGCCTCAGTTTCCTCATCTGTAAAAGGAGCTGGAGAAGGAAATGGCAAACTATTCCAGTATCTTTGACAGGAAAACCCCAAATTGTGTCATGAAGAGTTGGACATTACTGATCAACAACAACAGGGAAATAGGGAAATAGGAGAAGGGGGAATTAGAGGGAGGATAGATTAAGGGAGAGATTATCTGTAAGCAAAATCAACTCTAAAGATAGACAAAAATATATACAGCTCCTTTTGATGTGGCAATGAATAGGAATCTGAGAAGGTTCCCATCAATTGGGGAATGACTGAACAAGTCTCTGAATATAATGGAATACTATCATGCTGTATGAAATGATGAAGGGGATGGTTTTTTGAGAAACTTGGGAAGACTTATATGAACTGATGCAGAGGGAAGGGAGAAGAACCAGGAGAACAATGTACGTGGTAACAGCAATATTGTAAAGTCAAACAACTTGGAAAGAATGAGGAAGTCTGATCAGCGTAATGACCAACCATGATTCCAGAGGATTAATGATGAAGCATGCTACCTACCTCCCAACTGAGAGGTTTTGAAAGACTTGGAGTACAGAATGATTATATGTTTTACATTTATAATCATTCTGTACTTTGAGTATATATTATGTATAGGATGCTATATAAAATATCATATACTATATAAGATGTGTTATATAATACTATATTATTACAATATATTAAATATTATTGTATATTACATTGCATGTGTTATATATTAATATTGTATACAACATTACATATTATATAATGTGCTATAGAACATATTATATAATATTATACAATATTATATATTGTATAATACAATATTATATATTATATATTGTTTTATATTTTTTACATAAAGATATAACATGTCATATATATTAAATATATCAAGTATATATATATTCTTCTGGATGGAGCGAACACAGAAATCTGTTTTGCTTGAGTGTACATGTTTGTAACAAGGGTTTTGTTTTTCTATGGCTCCTTTTTGGGGGAGGAGAGGGAGAGGGAGAGAAGGTAGATTTTTGCTGATTGGAAATAATAACATTTAATTTTAAAAAATGTCCAACAGGAAGTTGGTGAGTGGAGCTCAGGAAAAAGACTAGGCTGGATATAGAAATATGGTAATCATTTTCGTAGAGACAATAATTGGACCCATGGGAGCTGATGAGATCAGGGAGGGAGACAGCAGAGGGGGGTGGTCCCAGGACAGCTGCTGGATCATAGTAAGCAGGAATAAGCTCTGGGTTTGGGGTCAGAGGGTTGAGTTTAAATTCTGGATATGCAATTTACCCCCTATGCAACCATTAGAAAGTCCCTTCCCTTCCTGGGGCCTCAGTTTCCTCATCTGTACAATGACGGTATGGCCTCTGCAGACCCTTCTAACTCTGTTTCTGTGATCCTGTATTTCCCATCCCCACCCCAAGTCTTCCAAGAGCAGCTTCCTAACTGGCTGCTCCAATTGGCAGATGTGGGGGTGATGAGGTCTGGCCTTGGGGGGAGATTCTGGGTGTGCGGCTGAGAGAAGAGCCCAGACATGAGGGCTGGGAGGTTTGGGGAGGTGGGCAGATGGCCCCTGCCTTGGTTACCTTCCCTTTCTAGGTCAGCATCAGAGTCTCCCTCGCTGTCAGTCTCATAAGCCCCCTTGGGGCGACCTCCCGGGTCACTGCTGTCCTCTTCCTCCTCCTTGGCCTGCAGAGGGCAGTTAGTGCTGAGGTCACTGTAGGGGTCCTTGGGTGTGCTCTGGAAAGGCAAGAACAACGTGTCCAGGTCTGAGGCGTTCCCAGGACGTCCACCCCCCCCCCCCCCCCCCCATGCAGTCAGGGAAACTCTGGAGAATGTCTCTGGGGCAGCTCAGCGAGGCAGGGCTTGTGCGCCGGCCGGGCCTGGGTCTCTGCCGCTGCCTGCCTGGGAGCCCCTTGGCACTCTTTGGGGCTCCGCCATCCCTTCTGTAAAAGGAAGGATCATTAACGTAGATCTTCATCACAGTCCCGTTTTACAGATGGGGAAACTGAGAAGCTCTCTGGTCCCTTGGTAGCTGGCTGCTTTCTGGGCCTCAGTGGCCTTCTCTGTCAAAGGAGGGGGTTGGATTCCCTCCCAGGGTGTGTGACCCCCCTCCCCCCCAAGACTGGGGGACTTGGATTAGAGGGTCCCTCCTCCTGTCTGGACTCAGTTTCCCCAGCCGTGCATCCTCGTTGACCTTCAGCACCACTTCCAACCCCATCTTTTCCCAGTTCTGAATCTCAGGATCCTGCTCTCTCTCTTTGTCCTGTTTTAGCTCGTCTTCACGCGCAATTCGGGGGGGCAGCTTGGAGGCGGTGGCCAGGTCCCACGGCCCCAGGCGCGGGTCCACCCCAGCGCCCGAGGGGTCCCCCCAGGGGCCCGGCTTCCGCTCGGCCATGGCCCCCAGCGGGCGGATCCCGTGGCCGAGTCCCCGGCCGCTTATCATCCCGGGCTGCTGGGCGGGCGGCTGGAGACGGGGGTGCATGGTGGCTGGAGGCGGGGTGGCGGCCTGAGAGGACCAACCCGGGCGGCGACCAAGCTGACGGGCGTCCTCCGCAGCCAGTAGGAGCCCGCGCGTCCTCCGTTGCCTTGGGAACCGACAACAGCAGGCCATGTGGGCCGGGCATGGGGACAAGTGTAGGAGGATGCTCCACAGTCCTGCCCTGCAGGGCATGGGGTGGGGTGGGATGGGGTAAGGAAGCGTCAGGATTGTGGGGAGCTCACTACCCACAGAGCAGAGGAGCCCAGGAGTACTGACTGCACCAGCAGCCCCTGCTGAGAGGAGTAGCTGCAGGGATGGGGAGCTCACTCCCTACCCAGGCAGCCCATTCCAAGTTGGGGGAGCTCTGACATGCAGCCTAAATCAGATGCTTCGCAAGCCCCCGCCGCGCCCCTCGTTCTGTCCTCTGGGGCTCAGCAGAGCAAAGCTAATCCCTCCTTCTCCTCTCCCCGTGTGTTGTCTCTCTCAGAATGTGAGCCCCCCAAGAGCGGAGTTTTCCGTTCTATCGCCAGAGCTTAACTCGGGGCTTTGCACGCAGGACACATTTAATCAATGCTTCCTTCCTTCCTTCCTTCCTTCCTTCCTTCCTTCCTTCCTTCCTT